TTTGGAAATAACTGATGTTCATAGAAGAAAAAATAAAATTCACCTATCTGGGGACTGAGAAACAATCTTTAGCGAGATGAAGGGGTATGCCCCCAATCTAATTATGCTCTACAATGCCAAAAGACAGGTGTCTGGCCTAAGCAGACCAGACCAGTGAGGTCCAGTGTCAGAGCTCTAACCACACCCCACAGCTGAGGAGAGGACAGCAGAGGACCCAGCTACCAGGGGCTCCCTCCCCAAGCTCTGCCCCTCGGCAGCCGCCACATTACACATGTGGGCCCCTGGGGAATGGAGCGTGTCCTGGGAAGGTGCAGAAGCAGTGGCCCATGGGTCAGCACTGGACACAGGTGCCTACTTACCCACCTCCCTCCTGGGGCCACAGTTCATGAAATGGTGACAATCGGTACCCAGGGGTGGGATACAGAAAGAGCAGCCGCAGTTACATGACATGCGCCGTCCTTGCTCCTGGAGGGTGTGCTCAGCCTGGAAACAGGGTGTGGACACTCCCACCCAACTCCCTCCAGAAGCCCTGGGGGTGGATGTTTCTTCAGAAGGCATCATGTGTACAAGCCTTTGCAGCTCCATGTCTGTGTCCCCTGAGTTTTCATGGTGAAAGTGTCTAGACTCAGATCTGGTGGCTGGAATCAGATCACACATGCAGGAAAAGCCACCAGGAAATCAGACAAGGGGGACCTTTGGCAAGATGTGTGCCCATTGATTTCTTGGGAACAGACTGAAGCCAGGGGCTGTAAGCAGTGGCTGGAGAAGTCCCTCTTCTGGGGATGGTGCGAGACAGTCCCAGTGCCTCCCCATGTCCTGCTCTGAGACTGCAGGATGATGCTCCGTCTTACTCAAGACACCACCTAAATCTGACTCTGCCTGGCCCTCAGCTACCCAAGTGATGTCTTTACCCCTGAACCTGGCACATCCTACTACACATTATTTAAGATAGAAACTCCCTTGGGTCTGCATCTGTCAAAACAAAATTCCCACACCTGCTGGAACAGAACTTGTGTGGACGTTAATAAGCAACAGTTTTAAGTAGGACTTGGAGAGAGACTTGGCAAATGTGGGGAGTGGCCAACTTCCCCAACCCACCAAACACACACACACATGCACACAGTCAGACCCTCCCTCTTTCCCATTCAGTCCCCTAAGACCTGTATAGTAACTGGTCGGGGACATGTTTCAGGTAACAGGAGAGCACTGTACACCTTCTTCAGGTTCCTGGGGGCCAGGAGGGCCCAGGGCAGCTCAGCCCACATGCCCCTGCTGTGACTTTACCTCCGGCAACGCCCTCTGAGCGTCCAGGGCTGGGATGTGCCACAGGGACATGACATGGGCTCATGAAAAGCCAAGGTGACCGAGGAGGTGGCCAAGGGCTACCAATGCTTCCAATTCAAACAAACGATGACTGGTTTCCATGAAACAGTTTTATTGATTTTGGAGGAGAAAGCAATACATTCCATTCAAGACCGTATGTGACTATGATTACAATGTCTGTGCAGAGCTGAAGGCATACACACACGGACACTGGGGAGATGCTTACCTGACGGGATTTGAGTCAGTTTTCCAGCTAATTTAGAAAGCAGTTACAAGTGAATGCAGAAGATACTATGGATTCAAACATTCCTCCCAGAACTTTCCAGTGTACAACCCCCAGAGAAACGGTCCTTTCCATCAGAGCCCATGAGGGCAGTGACCCTGCCCACCCAGCACTTGGGGAAGAGAGGCAACTGCATGTCTGTGTTGACAAGCGGAGGCCACACAGCAGGCAGCGCAATTGGGACTTGAGTTCTACCAATTCACTCTAGTGCCAGGGACGGGGCCCGTGGTGAACAGCAGGTTGGGTATCTTGTAAGGGCCTCACACAGAATCCTACAAGACAAGCTTCCAGGCCCACTAGTCCTCCTTCCATGAATAAAGCCCCAAGATGTGCAGAGACACTGCGATCCCAAGTTCCTGTGACGAGCCTGTCGGACAGTGGGAACTGACTAGCTCTGAGTGGAGGAGATCTCCGGAACCAGAGAGGACCCAGGCCTTCCAACTCTTCTTTCACGTTAAGCCAAGACTGAAAATGCCGCTGGTGACAGAATAAGACACTCTGGCATCTTCATGGAAAAATCATAGAAATACCCAAGGACAAGAATGTCCTCAGAGAGATGCAGTGTGTTGCCTGTGAGCTCACGGGCTCAGGAGGGCTCTGCGGGGCAGCTCTACACGCTCATGGCCACACAAGAACCAAGTGCCCATGGGATAGTTCACCTTGGCTTCCTCCAAAGGCAAGACTTGTCACCTGCATCTTAGCGTCTTCACTAGCTTCTTAAGTGTTGACAGTAAGCATGGTGGATGGTACACCATGCTGCCAAAATCTACTTGGTCCCACGTCCAGGAGGCAGGGCTACCTGGAACATGGCATGGTGTAGATGGAGTCCAGTGTGGGGTGGCCACCTCCAACAGAGCCTTCTCCATCACACCCATGATGGATGGGTGTCATCTGCTCCCCTGGTAGTACCTGATGCCAACGGGCAGCTCCTAGGGCCAGAGCACTAGGTCTCTTTCAGGCCTGTGCCTGGTACACTGTACAGAGAACCCAGAAGGGCAGCCCTGGAGTAGAGACCAGGGCTGTGGAGCGCAGCTGGGCCAGTGCAGGGATGCTGGTTCACCACTGCTGGTACTGGGAAGACACCACCACCCTCTGACATAGCCTGTGCTGTCCAAAGACTTCTGGGCAGACTAACTCCATGAGATGGGTAATGACCCAGTGCCAGTCAACCACCCCCACACGTACCCCTAACACACTCACACCACGAAACCAGGATACACATGTGTCTGTATCTGGGAAATGCCAAGTCACGCTATCAGTCTGTGAGGCAGGTCAAGCAGCTGACCTAGCCTGGGTTCAAGGCTGTGTAATGACCACGAGGTGTGCAAATCTCATACAGACATGTTAATGTCAGCAATGACGTCTCCGTATCTGGGCAAGGTTTTCCTTCATGGCCACTTTTCTGAGCTCCTCCAGCCCATTTCATTTTACCAAGACATACTTGTTCTTCATGGTGGGTGGAAGTCTGCGGGTCTTTTAAGTGTCCGCATCAGGCAGTGTCACGGCCTCAGCAGGTGCCGTGGTGGGCGAGTGTGGTGTCCACTAGGCAGGTCACTGGGCTGACAGTTGGGTGCTCAGTGCCCACTGCACGCAGCGGGCAAGGCGAATGCCTCTCCTGCTCCGCCCTCCCTTTCCCTCCCCTTCCCAACTAGCTCCTACTGCACTGGTAACAGAGGCGTTGCCCCCCATGGCCTTCCAACCCTTCTGCTGCCTGCCATGGGAGCCCCATTCAGAGACCCTGCTGCCCCCCACACCCAAACACAGGGCTCACTCAACACCCCCAACCCATCTTCATCTGACATGGCTAAGTGTGAAGATGCAGAAGGGAGAGGAGTTCAAACAAGGATGAAATTGCTTTGATTTTTTCAAAAAGGGGAAGTTCAGTATCTACAAGTTCCCATTTCTAGAAGGAAGCGTGCTCCTTTTCCCCCTAGAGGAGGGTGCACGTCATGGGGCCCCTGCTCACATCAGCTCCTAAACAAGCATTTGCATCCACGACTGACCGGGTCATCTCCGCAGGGATCTGAGGTCAGCTTCTGGTCTTCGCCACCAGGAGAACTGGATGCTTCCTCTCCCCGGCCACGCAGGAGTGCTGAGTGCTGCACACCACCGTCCCCAAGACCCTCCACCCAGGCTCCTCCTGTCACCCATCAGGTGGTATCTCTTTACCCCAAGGAGGATTTGAGAGGACACGCTAAAGCATGCCACTTTAAACACGTGCTTGGCATTAAAATAATTTAATGCATCATGCCAGCCAATATTTTACCCTGAAGTTACAGACACCAACCAATACCTTTATGGGCACTTAATTCCACAAAGTAGGAGTCAGTCAAGCCCATGCAGGTGTTAACAGGTTCCAGCTGGTGTGTGGCTGTGCTAGGGTGATGGGATTCCAGTCAGGATCTGGAATGGCCCATGGGACCCCAGCTAGCTGAGGGGCATCTCTAGTGGAGCATGGGGTGCTGTGCACTCCACATGGCTGTGCAAAAGTGCTCACCAAGGCCTGGTGACAGGGACCAAGAAACAGAGGTGCAAGGTCTGGGCAGATCCCGTTTGCGCTTGGGGTGCCAGCTGCCACTTCCTCAACAAAGCACTTTACAGGACATCTCTCACGTGTGCCATGTGTCAGCTTTTAGTAACATCCATCCCCTGGGGACATCATGGCCAACAAGACACTTCAAGGTAGGCATCTGATGCCAAGTCCCTAACTGAAGCCACACTGACGTCTCCTGAGGGACTGTCCAACTGAAGCCACATTGATGTCTCCTGAGGGACTGTCCAACTATTGGCTGGACACCAATAATCCAGGCCCCCCCCCCAGACTCACCCTAAACCTTTGGCAAATACAACATGGACTTTTTAGGTTAACATATAAATAATCCTTTAAACACAGTACTTTCTAAGGAATGAGCAAACACAAAGCAGTTTGCAAAGATGAAAACGTGAGCCATAGATTTTAAAGTAATTATTTCTACAACTATTTTTCTACACCATAATTTTTTGTATCTCTTACAAATTAATCCCTGACAGCGAAGGGACCTCAGAAGCTGCTCCCTGACATCTCTCATTCCTGTGTTCAGTGTCAAGAGACAGCATCCCCCAAAAGGCAGAGTGTGACTCATTACCACCCTTCCTCTCCAGAGGCCCTTGGGCTCCAGGTGCTGGGGGTGCTTCCCCTCTCCAGGAGCCTTGACTCAATTTACGATATGAAAAGGGCACTCTAGCACCGCAGTCCCACCCCCAAGAGAGGAAGCCTACCACTAACTGTGGCTCCACCTGTGGGCCCAATGCCTGCTCCCACAAGCCGTGACCTAGGGGAGACGGCATCTACACTGTGGAGACTCGGTGGGACCATGGTGGTGGGGAGGAGCGTGCAGATGGCAGATGTGACCAGCTACCACCCAGCAAGTTGGAGCTTACCTGGTCCCTCAAAGGGTAAGAGTTTAGATGGAATAGGGTCCTTGGCACTCAGTGGGATCAGGTAGAGGTCCTTGATGTGCCTGTTGTTATTAGCTACAACACCAAAACGGCCACGACTGCTAAAATAGGAGTAGAGAGAAATATAGGCCACCTCCTCTTCTTCTGTTGCTGGGTGGAAGCGGATCAGACAGAGTTCCTGAAATGCAAACACAGGATAGGAGTGGGCATTCACCTGTACGCTGAGAAACCATTTGCTTTAAGGTTTGTACTTTAACCTCGAAAGGATGATCTGAAATGGAGACTTCAGCAATTTTGATTTTGATTTTTCATAAAGAAAATACAGGCTCAAGCACCAGATTACCGGATTCAAATCTTGGTTTCAATAGGAAACCCTTTAAAATTCCTTTTACTCACAGCCACACTTTCAGAACTCTTGGATCAGTGAGATAATCCGTGTGCCATGAGAGCTTAGCAGTGTCTGCAACAGAGTCAGCTTTTACTACATGCATGGCGACTGCAGTCATGATGAATTAATTGGCTGTGTGATCCGTGATGGCCGTTGGTGCGCCTCCACCCCATGGGAGGGCTGAGCAAGATAAAAGGGTCTGAGCCCTTCTACAAACATGGAGAACTACAGACCCTCCCAAAGAAAACTGCAGATGCACACGGCTGTGGCTGAATTGCGGGGAACCCCAGGAAACCAAAGGTACTCACAAGCCCAGGCCGAGGGCCGAGGCTGCTCACCCCAAAATCCTACCTTCTGCTCCTCAATCGTAAAAAACCACCAAAGCTCATACATTTCTTACTAAAATTTAACTATATACACATCATTACGTTTAGTCAGAAACAAGCTTCTATCACTGTATTACTCAAATATACCCTCACATATTGATAGAGCTATGTAAGTTTTTAACATCCACCTGGAAATATCTATTGAATTGTAGGTTAACACATTAAGTGTTAGCCCATCAACATGAGAGGTTTAAACAAGAATGTGTTTCAATAAACACTCTTCCACCGTTGCAGAGTTATACTATATACCTTAGACACAGAAGACTTGAGTTTGCCGACATAATCCCAAACCGTCTTCGGGGCAATCCTCCCACCAATGTGAATTGTGTCGGGCAAATCCTAAACAAAAAGGTCTTTGAGTAAATACTGGTGAAACTGTAGTATTCACAAAGAGATTAATGTAGTAATTTCAAGGCATCAAACTACCAAGATTCAAGAAAACTATAGCTCTTCCAAGGAAAACGGTAAAACTGCATTAAGTGTGGCCTGGTGAACTCCTGCCAGGGCTCAAGTGGCCCCCAAGGGCAGTGTGAGGCTCACCCCCACTGTCCCACAGGGCTATGTTCAGGAACAACCGCCCCATGTCTTTATCTTCTATGTACACACACATAATAACAGTTCAGATATTAGCCAGGATGCTGCCTTGCACTAAGGTCACAAATGCTAGTTCTGGTTCTTTGTTAATTTTGCAAAATAAAAGCCCTGCCATGAGGTTGTATATGCTCCATCCTAAGGTCCTGTCTGCTTGGTCATGCTGGCGGTTGGGTGCACATACGTCCAGGACATGCCCTCTCTAAGCAGTTTGAGATACCTGGCTTCTGCTTCCAATGTCTGGCCCTGCCTAAGCTGCTCAGTCTGCCAGCTCATCACAGAATGTCTACTTTGCCATTAGGGGTGCTTTTGTATATAGACTGTCAGTTCTAGGAGTGTCATACATGACCCAAGCAGAAACTTTGATAAAGTCTCTCACACAGAAATATACACTCTTGGTTCTAACCTCACTGAGATAATCAAAACACCCAGAGACAGGATACGCCTTAGTGACAAATTTTGCGACACTTTGCATGTTAATAAATCCTTTCCAAATGGTGCTGAGTCGAGATAAAAACAGACTGGTGTCTCCTTCCGGAGGGGATCGTGACTCTGAGATGCTGCAAAACAAAACATAAAAGGTCATGTCAGGCTCTATCTCTGCATGATGAGAATCTCAAAAGTATAAAGACTGTATATGAAAAGTAAAGTGTGTTCCCACAGGTTGTGGTGGTTTACTCCTGCCAATTAACTAATGGTGACGATGTGGACATTGTGGTAAAAGAAGAATAAATTAAATAGGCAACAGAACTCAATGACCAAACATTCACATTTCAGTTTTTAAGATCTATACCTCCAAAATGAGGCATCCTAAAATGGGGCCTTTTTAAAATAAAGTTGCGTTTCTGGGTAAATTTCAGTTGAATGATTTAATCATCAATTTCCTTTCCTCTTGTTAATCTAAAAGAGAAAATATTTGGCTTGTGGGGACCACACCTGTAACACACACCTGATGCCCAAAGACGGTGAAGCAGACAGGTACCTCGGGTCAGGCGAAGATGATGGCTTCGCCAGGATGGACTTGGGCACTACCGTGGAGGGCGGCACAGGCTTCGGCCCATCCTGTTTGCTTTCTACAGTGTGGGTGCTGTCCAGGCGGGCTGCGGTGGCTGCCGAGGCTGTGCAAAGAGTGCCTGGAGCAGTCCTGGGGTCCCGGCCAGACACTGTGACAGTGGTGACCACCTCGCCCCCACAGGAGACCGGGCAGGGCAAAGGGTCTTCCAGGACACAGGGCTCAGGAGGGCCATCTCCTGGAGGCCCCGGGAGACTTGCTCCCTCCCCGTAGGGATGAGGAGGGCTTCCCAGGTCAGGTCCAGAGGCATGCTCTGACAGAGCTCCTGGTGCCACCTCCTCAGCTGTGTTTGGGAGTGAAGACGGCGGGGAGCTGTCGTGCCTGGGTCTCAGGTCTTCTTTCTTAGCAGAAGTGACCAGTTTTTGCTTTTTCGGAGCCGGTTCATCCTCTGATGATGGAAGCTGCCCTGAAGCATATGAGGAAAGACTGTAAGGTGGTGGTACGTTCGAGAGCACACTCATATCTTACAGAAGTCAAATCACCATGCTACCAAGGTGGGGCCAACTTTGCAAACTACAGGAAACCACTCCAGCCTTTCTTGTGTGTTTACACACAAATAAAAACTTAATTCCCCAAGTTCCAGACCAGTGTTGTGCTCACCTGTGCAAATCCTACAGTTGAGGTCAAAGAGGTGCGCACGGTGCTGGCCAGTGGTGTCCTTCAGCATGCTGCTGAACACATCCAGGGGTGGCGCCACGCTCTTCTCAGGGGCAGCGCGTGCTGACTCCTGCTGCTCCTGTTAGCAGAAGGACATGACAGTGAGGCTCATTCTCATCCAAACCCATCTCCAATTCACAGCACATGTGAAAAGCATCACTGGGAAGAAGGGACTGCTCAACACAAGTCCCCAAGGATAACAATCATCTGTCTGATCTGACAGATTAAGATTCCTAAAAGACCGCAGGTGGGAGAAATGTCTGTATACCCCTGGTGAACACAGAAGACCTCAGTGCTCACATCTGAGTCTGACACTGGCGGGGAGTCCTCCATGTCGGGGGCGGGCTCCTGCCTGACGGCAATCTTCTTACTCTCACTGTGCAGCTTTGCTCTGGACTCCATCACCTGAAATGGGAAGGACACCTTGTTCTCCAGGAGGAATACGCCACTCATGCCAACAGTCTGTGAAATGCCTTCTGGAAAGCAGGCCCCGAGTGCCTCAGGCAGCCACTCCTGTCCACACTCACGGGTCTTGCAGGCCTCTCTTTCCACGTGGAGAGCTCTTTAGATACGAGTTCTTCCGGCTTCATTCTCACCAGTTTTGCCAAAGAGATTTCTTCACGCAGAACACGATGGAAGAGTCCCTGTAAACAAGCATCTTTCATTTACTCATTCAAAAAATATTTGCACATCTGTTAATCTGGAGATCTGAAAAAAAAAAAACCAAGCAGCACTCGAAGTATTGCCCAGGCTCCCTGGTCACAGAACAGAGAACCTTAGCAATCACACGTACAGCCTGCACCAGGTCCTGTAGGGGTGGGGCCTCGTCTAACTCCCAACAGCTTCATGGGAGTCTGTGCCAGGCCACCCCCATGGAGAACAAGTGAGGGCCCAGAACACAACCATGCTGAGGTCAAGCAGCAGTGTTCGAGGCCCATGCTGCACTAATGCGGCTCATCTCAGGCGCATGCTGCACCATCTCCTCAGGAAACACAAAATCACGTGTACAGTTTGGACCCACGTAAAAGGTACAGAGAGAGGATAAAAGCAGATCATTCCTGCTCGAGATGGTTAGCTTTGTGAGATGCTAAGTCACAGTATTTAAAATCCTGATTCTAGGCAACAGGGAGAGTCCAGAAGCCAATGGAGAGAACACTAGAAGACCGAGAGCCCACAGCAGGAGGCAGGAGGGCCGTGCCAGGGAGGTGGATCAGCCTTTCCAGCCCGGGTTTGTCTGAATGACAAGGCAAGAGTACGGCCACTCTGTACCTCATGGGCAGCACCTGTCCATTTGGTGGAAACCGAAAGGTGTTCCAGTTATGGCTCTTAAGAAGCCTGACTCTTCAGGCTGGTTAGCTAAGGAAGAATAACAAGTGGGCGAGGGAGAAGAGTCTGCCAAAGCCAGAACACGGACAACCCACAGCCTGAAATGAAGACCCTGAGCTTCATTTTGGAGCCAGTGATGTGGAGAGTTGTAAACATCACAGAGCCTAATCTGGTGAAATAGGAAACAGATGTCAGGGGAAGTGTGTGAGTTCCTAACAGGACCCAGGGAAGCAAGAGAGGGGGCCTCCATGTATACACACTTACAATGTGGGCGCACTGAAGACTTTAACTTTCATAGAGAGGTTTACTACTGGCAAACTGCACTAAGAGAAACGAGCCAGCAAAGGCCTGCATGCTCAGGACACCCGAGTATGACAACTGCACACACCTGGTTTTTAGGGTCCTTGAGGTTGAACATGATGCTGCGGTATTTGCTCTTGTAGCGATTATCCGTCACCTGGAACAGGTTAAACATCTCCTTCTCAATGTGGAGGGCAATTTTCCCTACTTCATTTTCTGTCATGATTAAGTCGTCGCTGTCATTGACTCTGAACAGAACAAAGAAAGAAATGACGTGAGCCACTTGCACCGCCTGCGTCCCACTTCAGGCAGTGGGGCAGTTTTACAATGAACACACCACACTAACAAGACCCTCTACTTAACTGACAAGAACTAGGCAGAGGAGCCCACCTTTTCCACAAAATCTCTTTCAAGGAACGTCTTATATTTTGCCGAATTTGTGAGTTTGGCTGCGATGGGGCTGGGCTCGTGGCCCCCAGGCGTCCAGGTGCGGGAGTGGCTGAGGGGACAGAAGTTGCTACGGGCTTCCTTGCAGCTCCAACCGCAGCAGCAGAGCTGGGTGGCTTCTTGGAAGCAGCTGTCATGGCGATGCCTGTGGGTCCTGACTGTCTGGCAGATGCGCCACCTGAGGGGCTGGTTGAATGCCACGGCCTCTTGGGGATGGAGCCTTTGAAATTCACGGGTGACTTCTTAATGGCTGGCTTGGCTGCTGCCACATTAGCAAAAGGAGGCTTCTTTGGAACAAGACTTCTGGGCAATGGCTGGGTGCCCGCCCCGGAGCCTGGAAGGGCTGTCTTCCTCGAGGTCACTGTGGCTGCCACTGTTTTCTCCTCGGACCTCCGCTCTTCCTTCGTGGCTGTAAGAGAAGGCAGGTGCTGAGTAAGGGAAGGCTGTCGCCTAACATCGCAGTCACACCACCCCAAGCTCACTCGCCACACCAACATTGCTGCCCAGGATACGTATAGAGGAGAGGGCCGCAAAATCCTAGAAATCAGAGGAAAAGGAGGGACACGAAGGGCTGCCAGCAGCATTCATGCCAGGTCCTGCCTTATTTCAGAAGGAAAATGCTTTGCTGTGTTATTGCATTAAGCCCTGTACGTCTATAAACAAGCCCTAGTGATCAAGGCTTGATTTAATCACTAGCCAAGCTTTACAACTGAGGCACAAATCTCACATTATCAAAAAAGGGCAGATTTAGAACAGCATTTTCACTAGGAAGTACAATTTTGGGGGGGAGGGGGCAAACTTGAATTCCATACACCACTTCTCAGGAGTCACACAACACTTCATTGTCCCTCCAGACAAGTCCACTGGAGATGATGTCATTAATAAAAAGATAGAAAACTGGTAAACAAGCAACACAGGGATGCTGAGAACACAAGATGCTCCCTTATAACCTAGGAGTTTCCATTTAATTAATTAACCTGGTGAGATACAAATCCAAATACAGATTATAGTCAAAAGTTCAAGCAAAAAGTTACAGATCCTCAGCATGCACAAAATCCCCTCCATGTTAGTGAAGACCCAACCCCATTACAGGCCTATAAACTATCAGCACAGAAGACCAGTACTGCTGCTGAACCAAGGACAACTCAAGGCAGACAGCATGCTTGTCTGGGCAAACCACACGCCAAGGCAGGAATCTAGGTGATGGGATGAGGTGGAGTGCCTGGGGCAGGTGGCCAAGTATACAAGGCACCAACTGAGAGGATGCTCCCTGGGGGAAGGCCCATGCAGTCACCAGCCACAGATCCTAGACACCTAAGTGGGGACTCAATACATACTCCCAAGAGCCCAGTTCTGCTGAGGGATTAAACTAGAATGTTCCTTAGTCACTGCTCCCCAAAAGCAACGGACGTTTGGAAGCTCAGGAAAGAGCTAAGGCCCCATCAGCATATGAGGCCAGTAGTCCTGCAGAGGCTGGCCTGGCTGCACATGTGGTTCACCCTGTCATGTGGGCAGGGTGCCAGCCCTTCCCCTACCAGTTCGTCACACAGCACTAAATGCCTAGGGGGTACAAGTCGGTCCTGCTTTACAGGGTAAATAAAATGCCTCAATTCAGACTCAGCAAGAGCACTCCATAGCCTGAGATCAGCACAGCACTCATGTCAACAGCATGAGACCAGCTTCAGAGACTCTGCGTGTTCTTTGCTAGTCCTTAGCTAGGGTCAGCTGCCACTGAGTGGTGGTAACAATAAGAATTCATTTTTATGGTGGCTCACTAAAAAGGCCAAGCCTGTAACTTCATCTCAGAGCTCTCCTGACCCCACGGCTCCTGCCTGCCCCCGCAAAGGGGGTCTGTTCACAGGCCCCTGGCCCTGCGGGCACTGCCTAGGCACACACTTTCCCACGGTCTATCGCAAAACACTTTATTCCTTTGGGAGCTGGTTTTAAACTAAAGTGCACCATAAAGCAGTAACAAGTTCTGAAGACTCAGGAAACAAGAACAAAGAGAGAAAGCTACTTCTGTCCAGGAACCTCTGCCTTGACAGTGCCTTCCAAGTAGGTTCATCAGATCAGGTGTATGCACCTGAGTCTCCACCTCAGGGTCTGAAAGCTCACAAGGCCTGCAGCATCCAACCTGAAGGATGGGCACAGTACATGCTACTTAAAATGAGTGGTAGGAGAGGGGGGCAAGGAAGTGGGGGTAGGCATCCCAGCAAGGCCCAGATGCTGACGTTAGGACTGCTGCTGAACAGGGGCACAAGGACACCCCGCCGGCCCATGGTGTATGATCACCCATGGCCAGGAGGAACCCAAGGGAACCTGTCACAGTTCACAGAAAACCAAAACCAGCTCAGTCACTGTACACAAACTGTGTGGAGAGTACCCGGACATCTCACATATAAGTATCTCCAAAAAACTGGTATAAGGTGTATCTAGAAACCACAAAAATGCCCTGAATGTCACATACAGGACATTGGTGATGTAACCTGACACAAATTTTCAACGACACTTAACATGTGCCTCATTTCTGGCTACAATCTGTGCTAACGTCAAAAACATCAACCCTACTTCTCTGAACCCTAAGCTTTAGAATACGAGTTCATGTTAAGAGCAATCATCCCAGTGGCGTGATGGGTGTGATTTTCTCTCATTCAGGAAAAAATCCAGAAAGACATGATTTCTAGGACACTCCCGATACATGGGGTTAAAACTCCCGTGTCCAAGACAGTGGCAACAGATGGAGGTGACCTATCAAGACAGGTAGGGATAGCTCTCCCTAGCCAGCAGGTTCCTACTTAGGAAGCTGGTTGCTTCTGCCTTCACAATCCCTCATCTGCACTTCTGAGCACATGTGAACAGGCACAGGCAGGCAAGCGAATGACGGGTAAGCACTTAAGCCTCCAGGACTGGTGACTGCAGCTCACAACACGCCCCTCCACTTTAAAAAGAAATGTTTAAAACATGCCCCAAGTTCTGCCTGGCAACTGCTCCATAGCTGGCATACCCTTGTCCTGCCCTGAGTGGGAACAGCACGTTTAGTACTGGACTTGAATCAGCAGCTGTGAGATGGCGGTGACAAAGAGAACTCATTTTTGAGTAAAGCTAAAACTGAATAGGCAAATTCCGTCACACTCACTCTGACCCATATCATGGTACACGTAGCCTGAGATAAGGGCATGCACCAATTCTGCCACCACCAGGAGAAACCCCACTCTAGAATAAGGGCAGCATCACCCTTCAGGACACAAGGTTCCCCGTGTGGTGCTCCTCAGGGCAGCAGGGGTGGAGTTTTGGGGGCACCACAGAGCAGAATGTCTGCATAGGGCCAGTGGTGCCCTCCCCACCCTGCAACATTCCACGGGTCAGAGCTGCCTCCTCTGGCTCCCACGACCTGTGGTCTCTCATGGGAGGTAAAGCGTGGCCTTTGGGGCTGGCCTGCACCCTCGTGGCTGCAGGAGGAAAGGCTGCCCAGGGACCAGGCCACAGTCCTAGAGGAAGTGGCAGCTTGGGTGTGGCCATCAGCTTGCAACGGAAGGAGTGTGGGTTTCAGCCAACTGCAGAGCAAAGCTGGTGATGGTCGTGCACACAATCGGCAGGCTGCTCCAACTGGCCATCTCCCCAAGGTTGGCTGGCGCTACAGTGCCACTGGCCACTGGGTGGCGCCAGAGGGCTGCGCCAAGCAGGAGGAAAACCCGGCCTCACCAGGACCTAGGTACGCTTCTCTGCAGGACCCGCAACTACCTGGGTGGGAGGTGCAGGACAGGAACTAAACCACAGCGCGAGACCATGTCTGCTCAGGGCCAACCTGCCCATGGACGCCTGCATCTGGCCCCACACGTAGATGTCTCCTCGCAGGCAAAGGAGCTGGTGAAAGACGTGCCTGGGCACAGGCTCGCACAGTGACTGCACCTGCTAGGAACTTTGGTTGGTGCAGGAATCTCCTCCCACCCTCGTATCCAAGTCCCATCACTGGGTTACAGGGAAGCTGATTCTGCTCGACACCCCCATCTTCAGCTTACAGGAGAACACGTACAACGCAGTTCCCAGCTCAGCTGCTTCTTCCCGCCAGTGTATTTTTCTGATGTAACAATCAAGACAACAGCAAGACAAGGGCTCTGCTTCTGCTCCCCTCACCACACTTAAATTGTCTTCTGGCGGATCATCCTTTTAACAGCACATCAGGTTACTGATTTGCTTTCATATCAGGGAAATATGTGGTTACATAAGTTCCCCATTAACACTAAATAAGGCACAGATGACACCACCGATGCTCTTCGAGGGGATGACCACTGCAGCCAGAACATTCTGGCAGAGCCCAGTCCCTCCTTGTTCTAGACTAGTCTTCTTAGGCTCATTTTTATGTCCATATTTGAGTTACTTCCATGTGAATGAAGAGGTGTGCAACTCAGGAAACTTGCAAAAAAGCAATTGTACATCTGGAGGCTGGCGGCTTTCCTTGGTGTGTCTCACATAGCATTTTAAACCTGAATTGTGTTGGGTTGCTAATATATGAGAACTGGTCAGGTATAGCTCAGTGCAAGCCACTATGATGAGCCGTGCTGTAGGCTGTAGAGACGGGTGTCCCCTCACCACAATCCTGCAGTGCCCAGCCATGTGGCAAGGTGTGCCTGACTGCGAGCCCCACTTGGCAGTGGGGCTGTTGCTCTTCTGAGCTCTCAGACCAGTGACTCAAGCTGGCAAACCTTAATCAGCCTCATCTATGCCTAAATCGTTGCCTGTCTGGACCAACACGACAGGGGCCTGTTAAAATAGTTCACTTGCCCTCCCTCGTAGTCCTCCCAGTCCCAAGGGTCATACTCAGCATAAAGCCCCACAGCTGACAGCACCGTGTGGAACACAGGTCAGGAGTGTGCAGCCAGTTAGTTACCTGACGATCTTCTTGCCGGACTCTTCCAGGTTTGTGGCAAATCAAAGTTACCCCAACCTTCATTTAAATCAAAGTAGCACAAGTTCTCATCAATCTTTTAAGTTTTACTACTCTCATTTATACAAGCTAAGAATTTAACTATGTGCATGTTGATGTGTAACTGGAAAAAAGTCCCAGACTACAACTTGATAGGGATATACCTGAAATTTGTGGAGGAATTACAGCAGGATCTTCGGAGGTGACCTCTGCACTCTGCCTGACTCTGTATACCATAATGGAGGAATTACAGAGCAGGATCTTCAGGTGACCTCAGCACTCTGACTCCAGTAATGCCAAGGGGGCCTCCTGGAACACTATCTTTAAAGATTAGATGCACAGTTCCAAAGTCACGTGAGGGCCACTGGAAGAGTTGGTGAACTCAGTGGGCCCAGGGCTGCTGGAAATGCCTACTACCTTTCACCCCACCTCCCCAAAGTGCTGAGTTCCAGAGCAGAGGGCAGTCGAGGGGAACTCACCTGGCAGGGTCAAGTATAGAGATGGGAAATCTTTTCTTGATATAATTTTCTGAATAGTAGGCTATTTTAAAAAAGTCTTTAAAAAGAAACAGTTTAAAATACCAAAAGAATGTCATTATTAACCACCAAGAAAATCTCAGCTATATGGGTAACATGAAAAGCAGCTGTCAAGCTACATGCTTGTTTAGTACAGATCTTGCCAGTGCTAACTGGTAGGAGACTGATTTGGATGCGTGTCTGGTTACTCCCAACCTCATTTTATTGCCACAGACAACTCTGGATGAGACAGAAATGGCTCAAGCCATCATGAACCAGAAGAGCCCACCCCGACCCCTCCCACCCAAGCTTTAAATTTCTATAAACCTTCTTGGTTCTAGAACCCCCACATAATGATTTTATTGTTGGAAATTTGTTCCTCTTAGGGTTTCAGCAAAGGTGCCATGGAGCCCACACCATGTGTCATCCTGGAGAAAATCTGTGTTCTCCTCGATCCAATTCGCCATAGCACCTGTACACTGTGGCACACATGGGAACGGAGGGAAATGCTTCTACCTGAGCAAAATGCATCACTAGGCATCTTGACTTGGGCTTACACGGTGGGAAGGTTTTCTATTTTAATTCCAATGGCTAGATGAAATGTACTGTAGAAATCTTTTTCCAGTCAAAATCTGCTCACATTTCCAGTGTTTTAAGTAACTTAATGAGCCATTAGGGAGTCCAAAATACTAGGAATTGTGCCTACAAATACCAGAATTCCATTTCAAAATTCTAAGAAATCAGGTACATTTCAGAAAAAAAGACAGCTGACATCATGACTTGAAAATAAAGGAACGTAAACTAATAGTTGGAAATAAATAGAAAAAAATGAGACAGTAAGAATACAAAAATGCAAAAGAAACATAATCTTTGGGAGCAATTAAAAATTCCAATTGCTTCCATAAGCTAGAGAAACTGTACAGCAATCCTAAAGACAAATCACACAGAGGACGTGAAGGGTCTATGGGTACCTTAGCGGGTCACGACCCCTCCTTTGGGCAGCAGAGTGTCCATGCAGTCAGGCCTTGCCTGGCAGGTCGGAGCCCCCAGGTTGGCCTGAGTGCCCTGGGAAGGACAGGTAGGAGGACAGGAGGTACCGGGAGCACCAGCAGCTCCACCCTGCCAGTCTTCACAGCCAGCAGAGAGGCGAGCATGGGTCAGCTCCCAAGAAAACCCACTGGAACAGACCCAGCATCAGCATCACTCCAAGTCCCACCCCCACTAGAAAACATGCTCTGGAGCCAGCCAGGAAGCAGGGCCAGCATCCAGTCAGGGCCCGCAAAGGTGCAGAGGTGTCTGGGAGAGGCAGAGACACGGCAGCTGCTCTCACCAATGCCCTTAACTCTCTCCCAGTCACCTTTTGGGAAGATGCATTTCTGGGATAACAGAAAATGACCAGAACCTACTTGTTCAGAATGCAACCCCTATCCATGCCCCGTGTAAACTGGGGATGTCCGCCAACTTTAATGCTGAGATGCAGAAGTGCTGGGAGGTTAACCAGGCACTACCAGGTACTTCTGTCCTTCCTGTCCCAACTTACCATCCCCGGGGCCTGTCAGCTTTGTGAGGTGCTGACATGTAATAGAGGGCAGAGGCAGAAAGCGCCAAGAAAAACCCTTCTGAGAGACCCCGCCTCCTCATGGACCTCCTGTGCTTCCCGCCCATCCCTTCCCCTCAGAGTGAGTGAGGCTGGAAATAACACTACAGGGGTCAGAGCCCGGCGTCCTCCCATCTTCCCACCAACCTCCCGCCTCCCAGTGTACAGGGACTCCCCAACTCCACACTGGGAGCCTCAAGGCAGCTTTCCAGTTCTGGTTGGCACACACAGAAATTAGTCAACCTGAAATCACCACCCAGTGATCTGTACTGTGGTGACTCCTCGGTAGTCTTTCCCTTGACTGTACGTGCCTTTAGCAGCTTAGGGCACCGCAGGATAGTATTAATGTACCCTGCCCCTCAAACACAGGTGAGGTTAGTTGTATGATCTTAGCTCTGTAAAAGTGCTAACTTGTGGAGTGCTACGGTTTGATGAAACACCGGAGACATGTTATTTGCTAGCATAAAATTCCTAGCTCTAACAATCTATGGAGTATTGAGATCCATTACACTGCAGCAACTGGGCAACTCATTTACTTGTGTCTCCACTTCCTAGGTCTTGGGTCATTCACATGATCAAAGAGTGCATACATTTGTAACCACACCAGATCTAGCACCTGGGTGATTTGCGAAAAGGCCAACTAAAAGGAAAACGGCGCATTTCTACAGTCTCTGACTTGACTATTTAACCTGTTTTTTGTTTTTAAAAAAAGCACAAAATGCACTATAAACTGACAGCATAAATAGGAGTATAAGTTGTGCCCTACGGGTTTAATTTAAATTTCTAACACTTAACTTTGGCATACTAGGCTGAGACACAAGAATAAACAGTTTCAAGTTGCATGATCTGAGCTCAGCTTCAAAGATCTCTCTGTAATATTCCCAGGTCATTAGCTTGAACTCTGAAGCTCGGTGTGACCTCTGACCATCTAAACATCAGGAGAGTCAGGAAGCAGCCCTGCGGAGAACACCATGCCCAACACATACAGGAATGAGGGAGTGCTCAGAGGAAGTGCATCACACTCACTTCCCATGGGATCTGTGGAGTAGCAGTGCATGGTCTTCAGGATCTGAATGTGTGTTCCGTGAGTGTGTTATGTGTGGACTGGACATGAAAAGGTTCCTGTCTGTCCAGTCAAAACTAAACTTAACTCCTGAAAAAAATCATACCTCAATTGCATATCAGATGCAACATTAATTTGCAGAAAGAATTCCCACAACATAGAAAAGAAGTGATTTTATGTGCTGAAAGCTGTTAACATGGAAAAACTATAAGTTTTATATAGGGCAGTAATAAAACTACCTGGTATTTTAACAATGATGCTCTTTGAGTGCTGGGCAGTGTATATTCAATCAGACTTTGATGAAGATAGTGCAAATACTTACCAGAGTCTGATAATGAAAATAGAGATTAAAGAACTCAATTATCAGAGTGAAAACATTCACCAGTGAGATCTGTACAGCTTTGTGGAAAAGTGACAGAAGTCCCCAAAGACTAGGTAAGGACACACGGGGCAGGAGGCACCTCGGATATCGGCTTTGCTTCCGGCTGATGGCACAGCCCGTGTTCACCACAGCAGGAACACACAGCTGCACCTCCTAGTCCTGGACAGGCCCAGAGAGGCTATCCAGAAAGAACGGGAGGGATCCAGGAGGCCAGCCCCTAGACGATACATACATTTAAACAACAGTGACGGCGAGGGAGCAGCAGTCTTTTCTGGCTTAACTGCATTGTAATTGTGGTCGCTTGCCCATGATGGCGTGCTGCTCTCACAAGCTGCTTCCTTCCCAAGGGCTTCATTCCGAGAAGGCGCCACCATCGCCTTCTTCACTGTGTTTTCTTTTTTTTCTGGAGCTGGTCTCTTGTGCATAGAAGAGATTTTAATGCCTGCCTGGATAATCAGTAAAGCCCAATCATTACGAGGACAGAAATTACACCTCCGCGCCATCTCACCAGCACTACAGGTCACAATCCCACCACTTCCCACCCACCCCAACTTGTGTGTTGCGTCTGCTCAGCAACAGTTTGCTGCATGTGCATATACAGTGGGTCTTGTTTTCCCATGTAATATGAGGATTCTAACTACTAAAGCAACATGGAGGCCCCAGAAACAGAATCATCTATACTCCTGCTAGGGTATGAGGCTGTCAAGAAGACAGAGTATGAGCTGTCGGAGCGAGGTGGCCAGGAAACAGACAGTAGAGGCCAGTGCAAGGCTATGCCTACACCCAAGGGGCCAAGGTGGGACGGGACCAAGTGCAGTGGGAGATACCTGGGGGCAGGGGGTGGCAGTTGGGTGGTGCTATACATCCCTTTAGCTACCAGAGAGACTGTTTCTTTGGCAGTTTATAATCCACAATTGTCAGCCCTAACAATTTAGCCATTTAAAAGCCAACCAAGTTTTTGAAAACTATTAAGGAAACTCGCTAGGCAGCGCTAGACATGCTCTGCCTGTCACACACATAATAATGCAGCGACATGGATCTCAATCTCTGGATTCTTCCGAAATCACAAGGTGCTTCATAACGTGACAGTTTTCAGAACTGGGTCTTGAACATAGCACGTGGCCTTGCCCAGGATCCCCATCTCGCCCGCCCTGGGTACCCGCTGTCTGCACAAACGCCTGTAGGCAGGTGCCTCCTCTTCCCACGAGACTGTACTGTGTCCTGAATTCTCGCATTTTTCCAGCAGTGGCCATGTGCCCGCATGTACTTTACTGCATTAATATTAAATAATCCTGATAATGGGTAAAGAAAACTGGTGGACAGAAGACATGAGTAAAGGTGAGACCACCTGCATCATGTCTACACCTGCCACCTCTACATTCTACATTTCAATATAAACCACTAGATGAAAAACCACATGGACACACTTTTGGCATCCCTGTTCAAATGACCAGTCCTGGCCGACTTACCTGAACACTACACTTTAGAAGACTGGGCTTGTCTAGCTTCATCTTCACCTTTTCTTTAGGCTTTGGTTTTTGTTCTTTACCTGAACTTAGAAATTTCATAGTCACTGCAGCATGCTTAAGAATACAGTCGTTGCTGCAGTAAACTGAGTCAGGTTGCGCCACCTTGGCGCACCCTGGGCCAATACAGTTCGAGGCACCAGGAGCCTCCACAACCTGCAGAATAAAACAGGCGAATCAAGCAACATCCTCGCCAACTGCAGCAGTTAGAGCAGTGTGTAAAATCACTTTTCTGTGGTAACAAGGCCACTGTTTGCAAGTGAGAAATACTAGAAGTATTTTTACTTTGAATGAACTTTTACCTTTGTTTATTCAAGCTACGAGTCTATTTCCCCTGGGGAAGGCACTGCCATCTTAACTATCTGCCCTGCCATCTCTGGTGGCCCTAGGCATGTAGACCTACAGTTAAGCTTCTGCTGCACAGCCACCTTCAGGGATTTTGCAGATGTAATCAAGGTCCCAAATGGGATGGCTGAGTCAAAAATGGTCTGACTTAACCAGGTGAAAACCCTTAAAAGGTGGGAAGGGCTTTCTGGAAGAGAGATGGCCGGCCCCTCTGATACTTTTGAGGTTAGCTGGGCCATTCTCAGAAAGCTACCATGGCCAGGACTGAGGCTAAGGTTGCCAACAGAAGCAAAAGAGGCCAATATCAGATGAACAATGAAGACTGCTTTCGTATAAGCATGCCACATACAATGCAAGGGATATTCCTTATATGCTAAGCAAGGTGAGAGTTTCTGAAGGAAGTCATTCCCCAACCCAGCCCCTCATGAGACCACAGTCCCAGCAACACCCTGACTGCAGTCTTGAACGTCCCTGAGCAGAGGCTACTTGTGGACCTGAGGCTATGACTGTGTGCTGGTGTCAGGTAAATCTGTGGTAGTTTGTCATTCAACAACAGGATACTGACACACCACAAGAAGTAGAGCTGACTGCTTCTGCTTACAATGACGAAAGCACGTTTTGATGGTCAAGACTTATAATAAATACACATGAGCATGTTCCCCAAAGGTATTTGAGAAAAACCTATTTATCAAATTAAACATTTAACATAATTGCTTTTCCTCCACAGAATCTAAGTTTTACTTAGAATCAAATTTAGGCTTATGTAGCTTATGTCAAACACATCAACAATAGAGACGTGTAACTGATTACTGTTTCCATCAGTTTAACATTTCCATTAATTTCTTACCAGCTAAGTGTGATCTTCACTGTGAAAATGGCATTTCCACTGAGTCCCTCTCACCCCCAGAACATGGTCATTCAAGGGCCCAGGTCTCCCACACTCCACCCTACAGCCAACACAGTGATCTCAAAGCCTTCTGCACACTCAACACCTGCTGGAGGACAGGAGGCCAAGAGGTCAGGGCCAGGCCAGGGACCCCAGGAAGGCCCAGTTAAAGACCTGCTGAGCCACCTGCCCTCTCAGGAGCTGAAATGGAGACTCGCTGAGCATGAGACAGCTCTTGCGGCGGCAGCAGCAGCTGATGGTGTGGAAACTTGATCAAAGTCTGTGCCCCAGAGGAGCGTGGAGACCAGGTAAGAAGGGGAAGCCAAGCAAGCACAGCTGCAAGGCAGAACACAAGCACCCCAGAAGCTGCCATAAGCATCTTGAGGAAGCTTGGATGGTGCTGGGTGATGGAGGTGTGGGTACTGCAATGACTCAAAAACAGTTCTGCAAATATCCATGCAACACAAGTAACATAGAGAGTACAAAAGAAAGCCTAGTTTTAAAAAAAATTGAGTCTACAATAGTCTAGGAAGGAGATAGGGTTTAAAAAAAGTCCTCGTGCAGACGGTGGAGCCTGGAGCAGGGCACAGCACTGCCTAGGATGTCACCAGCAGCATGTCTGAGCCCCACCAGCCCGACCCATGCTCGCCTTGGGGACGCATACTCACAGGCTGAAAGATCTTAAGCTTCTTCTTGCTGCTGGGGTTCGCAGCCTTCTCAATTCTCCCCTTGATCCCCTGGTCTTCGCTGCTTTTCTGTTCCACTGTCCCTATGCTTGTGAAATCTGTGCCGTCAGCATCTCCAGGTCTAAACATAGGCTCCTGCTGATCGGCGGCCTCTGAGTTAGTCTCGTCCTGCACTTGCAGGATGGTGCAGTTCGGGCAGATGTAATCTTCCCCATTCCTCTCCAAGAGCCTCCCTCGAGCCTCAGAAATGCCCACACAGTCGCCGTGAAACCATTCTTCACAGCGATCACAGCAAATCATAAACCTGAAGTCACAAAGTAACTAGACATCAGGACCGGGGAGTGGCCAACTCTCACTTCTCAGCATTAGTAAGTCAGAAGGGTTTTAAAGTCCGTTCTAGAAACAGCTAGAATACCCATATGCTCTTCTCTCAATTTTACTAACATTCAACCACACTTGCTCCATTGTTTCTGAGACTAGAACCTTTTAAGAGTGAGCCTCAGGCTTTAAGGCATCCCACCCAGACTCACCAGTAACCTGAATTCCACCCAGGCTCCCTGACATCCACTCCTAGAAAAGCTCGAAGTTGTCTACATGTCCATACTGGGGGCCAAGCATCGTCTGCACACAGCCCTTCCACTAAGTCTCCTAAGGAACTGACTGGAGCGGTGCACGGATAGGTCTCAATGTGAAGGAGACCTCCTCTGCACTGGTGGCACAGGAGCCAATGGCTGCACACAGTCCACACAGTCCACACACTGAGGCAGGACTACATGTGGCCTGTGGCTACCAGAACGGAGAGGAAGCCTGGGCAGCCCTGACCTGTTCCTTGGCTTTCTTTTTTAATGACCACTTGCTCATAACAGATGGCTCATTCCATCTGGCTTTCTAACTCCTTTTTTTTTTTTTGCGTTTGAGTCTCACTCCGTTGCCCAGACTGGAGTGCAGTGGCCGCTCCCGGCCATCGCAGCCTCGACCTGCTGGGCTCCGGCGATCCTTCCGCCTCAGCCTTCCAAGTAGCTGGAACTAAGGTGCGTGCTACCATGCCTGGCTAATTTTTGACTTATGGTAGAGATGAGGTCTCGCCAAGTTGCCCAGGTGGGTCTTGAACCCGTGGGATCAGGCAATTCACTCACCTCAGCCTCCCAAAGCACGGGATTACAGGCTGAGCCACCAAGTCCGGCTAGCTTTCTAACTCTTTAGACCCCTTGGATTTCTGGGACTGCTTGGCAGAGCCCCCGAGGCGGGCACCCCCGCAACCCACCTGTTGTTGTGAGGCTGGCGGCATATGCAGTACAGAGCATTGGGGTCGTAAACCTCACACTCAGGCTTAGGCCTGCCTGAGCCTCGGGGCTCCTCATCTTTGATCCCAGGAGCTGCCCTCCCCTCCAGCGCATTCTCTCTGTCATCCTTCCCAGTCTGTACTGCAGCCCCGGAATCCTTCTCGGGCTCTGGTTTGCTGGGCAGGGCACTCTCAACAGCGCTGCCAGTCTCAATGCCCACAGTGTCTGTGGGGTCCTCCTCCCGGCGCTTCTTCCGCAGGCGATTCTGGACACTTCTCAGGGGCCTCTCGGGGGGCTCCTGCTCCCGCTTTCTCCGAAGGCGATTCTGAAGTTCTTTCAAGGTCAGGCCATCACTGTCACTGTCAGAGGTGTCGTCCTCGTCATCACCTCCCTTGGCCTTTTCAGAAGAGGCTGGTCGTTCCTTCATACTTGCAGAAGCAGCCTTGGGACCACTCCTCATCTCGGAAGTGCTCTCCACACTCCCTTCTGAGGCAGTCTCAGCATCTGTGACTGGACAAGACGTTGGCTCGCTGGAATCCTCCAGGGAGACAGGCGCGCTCCTCCTCCCCCGGCGTCGGACCGTGGTGAGAAACTCCTGCACACGCTCGGTGCGCTTCGGCTGCCGCCCGCTACGCCGCAGAGACAGGCCAAGCTGCTGCTGCGGTGGCCGCTCCAGAGGGTCGGCCTCCGCGTCCCCTGCGCCCTCGCGCTTGGCAATGGTGGTTCTTCGGAAACCCCATGTTTTCCTGAACTCTTTACTTGTGGGCTTGATGGCCTTGGGAGCTTCCTCGGTGCTCGCATCACTTTTCTCCTCCATACCTACTGACAAAATGTAATCATATCACAAGCAACACACAAGCCCCAAACATGCGCTCCATGCACAGACACAGGCAGGGATGACCCAGACTGACTCTCAAGGATGGGGCTGCCCTTGAGCAAGGCCTGCAGACTAGCATCTCCTGAAGTGAGCTACGTGGGAGGACTCAAATGATTCATGGAGAAAATGTTGAGAGTGCTATGGCTAATGATTAGCAAGAAAACAGCTAGGACATTAGCTGTGTAACTCTGCCATTTAACTGCTTAGAACAAGGCTTCACAAGACAAATAGTAGGAAAAATTTTAAGCAATTAACAGCACAGCAGTCTAAGGACATGAAGAAAACACTGGGGGTGATAGACACAGGGTGTGGCAGCTTGGAACTCAGTGACCGAGATGCTATGCCAGCTTGGTCCAGGCCTGCACATCTACTCTGGACTTTGGAGTCTGGAGCCCTGGGCTGCTGAGCACCTTGTTGGAGAAACCACGTGGAGAGGGGAGGGTCCAACTGACTCCTGGCTTTCAGCCTGCCCACCCAGCCCAGGACCAGGCTAGGAGGGGCCCCATCTTGGACCCTCCACACCAGCCCTGCTGATGGCAGAGTGTCAAGTGACCCTCATGGTCACAAGTGAGAGGATTCCTGACCTACAAGGTGGTGAGACATGAAAGGGACCTTGTTGTCATCCACTGAGTGCTGGAGACAGTGTCAGCAGCAACAGATAACTGGGATCCTTGGGAAAGACTGGCCTAGGCAACAGCCTTTCTCTACTCTTCTTACCTTCTAATAGGTTACTAAAGGAAATGACAAAACTTGAACAAGATGGTATCTACCTTGAAAATTCCCTTTCAAGCTGTTCAGGCTTCAATCACATTTAAATGCTGATGATGACTCTGACTTTATGCCATATTCCATTCTAGGGGAAGAACGGGTACAAAGGAAAACCTGAAAAATACAAAATACACAACATTTAAAATCACCTGCAATCTTGTTTTTCCTTGCTTCCCTCCAAGTGTCGTCACTTTACAGTTCCTGTCCAGTTACAGATGCCGCCTGACAGAGGTCTCTGCACCCTGCATGCCCGGCCACACACTGCAGGTCAGCCACAGAGGCAAGGACCACATCAGTCCTTTGGTCACCTGAGGTGGTTAGGGTTACAGTTAAGGGACACCACTAAGCTAAATCAGGTACCAACAGTTACTCCCTCAGAGCGACAGCTCTTGAGGCCGCCTGGAGCACATAGCAGAACTCCATGAGCTAGCACCACAGTGGTCGACAAGAAGGGGCTTCCCCTGCCAGCCAGGTAGATCTGGGCACACCACGTGGACTGCTCTTACCCAGGAGGCAATGCTGACCTCAAGGGGCCGTGGGTCTTAAGTGTGAGGAAGTGCGTAAAAAGCAGATGCTCCATATAAATACATGTAGCACGGCAGTTTTTCAGTCACATCAAGTGAAGTGGTCTATTCATTCTTGAAAGAAATTTTACTTTTAGGAAAAGTTATTCTGCTTGTGCAAACCAACAAATTTACAACAAACTTGAGAGCCATCTTCAAGTCTTAGTTCTCATACAATTTGAGGGGATCACGTCAGCCTTCAACCCAGAAGGGCATATGGTCTGCAGTCCCTCCCCATGGGACCCTGTGAGGCCCAAGCAGGGCCAAGGAAAGAAAGGTGCCCCCTTGATGACAGACAACCTTCTGCAAAGAGAGTTCTTTTCAGCAAAATTTAGTCCTCATCAAAGAGAATATACAAGGTCTATGCATAAGCACTAATAAAATAACCAGTGCAAAAATAAGCACCTGGAATCAAAACCGTAACAGATGGTTAAACACTTACCTAAAAACCTTAGGCTAAAGTTTAGAATATAGCAATCCCTTGAGATCCATGGGGGATGGGGCCCAGGACTCCTCCCGGATGCCAAAATCCACAGATGCTCAAGTCCCTTCTATAAAATGGTATACTATTTACATATAATCTATGCAATCTCTTACATACTTTAAGTCATCTCTAGATTAATTATAAGCATACAACAGAATGCAAATATTATATAAACAGTTGTTACATTGTATTGTTTCTTTAAGATATATATCATTCATATTTCACTGGCCCACATATTTTCTGATCTGCAGTTGGGCGGATGCAGAGTTCTTAAATCCCTGTTACAAAGGACCAACTGTATTTCAAATAAATATGAATACTACATTATATGAGTTTCTTTTCAAATAATGCCACCCTAGACATACAAAATACAAGTGTATTAAGTTAGAACATTGCTGGTACTGTATAACAGCATTGATACTTACCTGCTCTCACTGAAAGCTTGTACACTTCCCTGGAATTTCTAACTACAATAAAAAGCTCTGGCTGAGAGAGCTCTTGGTCCAAGTAGACAGCCAGGCCTCACAACACTGCTGTTGTCCGTCACTGTTCACAAGTAACAGGATTCGTATTTTCAACAACTCAGATTAACTAGACACTGTTCCCATGGAGTAAGCTCCTAAAAGTAAAGTTAAAAGTATGTTACAATCTTAATTCACATATCAATAACAACAACAAACAGGCACCAAACTTCCCAAGTCCTTTCTTATTTGAATAGCATGATGTGACCTACTAAGAGGGGCGGGGGAGTTAGAAGCAAGCACATAGGCGGTCACTTCTGTTTCCTCGAGGACGTTGAAAGTACAGCAGGTACTATGAACATCCTCCGTGGAAAAGTACCAGACAGCACAGCCCAGGAAAGAGGGTCTTGGGTTAGCCTAGGGAACCAGGCAGACATGTAGCTAGTCCAGGACTCAGAGATGAGTCACCAGGGTTCAGTTTCTTGCCCACTGTGAGCTGACTTCTAAGATGGACCAGCTCAATAAAACCCAACACAGAACAGAGAAACACCAACAAAAGTGAAAAGGCTGAGCAACAAAAAAATTTTTTTGTTCCTTTGTCCTGAGGTCACAGGGATACCACAGTTAGAAGGGCAGGCAGTTGGAGTGAGGCTAAGGAGGAGGTAAGAGGTGGGCTCAGTTCAGGAAGTAGGCTGGGGGCAAAGAGAATTCTCAAACAAAAAAAAAAAGTACACATAGATGTACTTACTTGAAATTCTTAGTATTGTAGCTATATCATTTATTAAGAAAAAATTAGAAGACTACTGTTTATGATGCCTAACATCGTGATACAGTTCACCTCTGTGTATTTTAAAACCATTTCTAAAACTGCGTGTGGTGGCGAGAGGACTGCTTGAGCCCAGGGATTTGAGATCAGCCATGTCAACTTGGCAAGACCTCGTCCCTACAATAAATGAAAAAATTAGCTGGGCATGGTGGTACATGCCTGTGGTTCCAGCTACTTGGAAGGCTGAAGCTGAAGGATTACCTGAGTCCAGCAAGTCGAGGCTGCGGTGGCTGTGAGCATGCCACTGCACTCCAGTCTGGGCAACAGAGTGAGACTCTGATTAAAAAACAAACAAAATAGCCGGGCTCGGTGGCTCAGCCTGTAATCCTGCGCCTTGGGAGGCTGAGGTGAGTGGATTGCCTGAGCCCGCAGGTTCGTGACCCGCCTGGGCAGCTTGGTGAGATCTCATCTCTACAATAAATCAAAAAATCAGCCGGGCGTGGTTGTGAGCGCCTGTAGTTCCAGCTACTTGGAAGGCTGAGGCGGAAGGATCGCCGGAACCCAGCAGGCCAAGGCTGCGGTGGCCGGGAGTGGCCACTGTACTCCAGCCTGGGTGACAGAGTGAGACTCCAACTCAAAAAAAACCCAAAACAACAAAAAAACAAATGAACAAACAAAAAACTCCTTGTATATCCCCTTTCAAATAGCCACACTGACACAGTCAGCTGCTCATGAGCCAGGCCTTTGTTTCTAGCTAGGTCTGGAACACTCACCTTCTAGCATCTTTTGCCCCCAGCCTACTCTCCTGAACTGAGCTCACCTCTTACCTCCTCCTTAGTCTCACTCCAAATGCCTGCCCCTCTAACTGTGTTCTCCCTGGTGACCTCAGAACAAAGGCACAAACATTCAGACTCATCTTTTAACGAGACAGTGACCACTTAGCTTCAGCATTCCCTCTCATCAACCAAATGACACCGCCATGGTCACAATCTCTTCAAATGTGGTAAGCCTATCTCAAATGACTGCTCTAAGAGTTCAGAAAACACTGACAATAAACTCATATTTCATAACACTGAGCATTTATAAAAGCAAATAAATGAAGATGTTCTCAGGAATGAAAAATCATTTTTAAGAACTCAATTTATGTTAATCTGAGAAATAAACATGTTTCTAGACAGATTTGTATTCTGAATAGTGAGAAAATAATGTAATTATTTCTGTTAAGTAGGATGAGATAAAGGACACATTCAGTATAGATCAGATCATTTTATATTTGGAAAATTGATATTTTCTCATAATCTCTCTCTTTTTTTTGAGTTGGAGTCTCACTCTGTCGCCCAGACTGGAGTGCGGTGGCAAGCTCCCGGCCACCACAGCCTTGACCTGCTGGGCTCCGGCGATCCTTCTGCCTCAGCCTTCCAAGTAGCCAGAACTACAGGCACGTGCTATCATGCCTGGCTAATTTTTGATTTATTGCAGAGACAAGGTCTCACCAAGTTGCCTGGATGGGTCTCAAACCTGTGGGCTCAGGCAATCCACTCGCCTCGGCCTCTCAAAGTGCTGGGATTACGGGCTGAGCCACCAAGCCCAATCTTTTTCTCATAATCTCAACACAGGAAATCTAATATAAAATTTCAGTTAGCCTGTGAAATAAAAACAAATGTAAAGCAAGGGAAAAGTAAAATCAAAACATACTACACCAAGGCACAAGTAGAAACCAACCAACCAAACAGGAGTTGGAATTCATGTGCAACTCTACCCTCTTTCATAGCACATCCATGGGGAATGTGGTCCTGAAACTGCAACCATGGCACATCAGTAACAATTTTCCTCAGAAAGAAAGAAAAAGGTGGATCCTTCAAACCTGGGACGTGAACTGTGGGTGAACACTGAATGTC